TCAAACGAAGCTGTTCAGTAGGGGGGGTCACTAAATGTTGGCTCTTAGCATCCTATTTGTCTGGACATGACCATGGAGCTGCACAGAAGAGATTGGTAACACATTCTGGTCAAAGGAGCCTGAGACAGGCACTCTAAGGTAGGAAGATAGCCAAATGTTAGTGCTAGAATGCATCTCTCAGTAAGCAGTATGGAAACCTGTAGAGAGAGATGGTGTATAAGGACAGAGTGGCTTTAGGTGAACTTCTGGGTGATAATCCATCATATAGGATGGAAGTAGAAATCTTTCTGTCACTTCTTCACAAGGCCCAGAATCAACCCTTTGTAGTGAGACCCACAGGATGAAGATGAAAGACACCAAGAGCTGGGATCCTGGGCATAGACATCAGCCTTCTCTGGGGACTCCAGACCCATGGATGGTGCTGGAGAACTGTTTAAGCAGTGAATACCATAATGTAGATAAAAGTTATAAGTACACAGGACAAAAGAAAGGACAAGAGAGTTGCCTCTTGGGGTCTTGTCAACTAGGAAGAAAGAATTTTATGCCAGGAAGAAGCCCTCCATCAAAGCAGGGTAACAGTGATGCATATCTTTAATCCCAGCACTTGACCCGAAAAACTCTACACAGGAAATCCTAGAGCTGATAAACACATTCAGCAAAGTGCCAGGATACAAGATTAACTAAAACAAATCAGTAGCCCTACTATATGCAGATGATAAATGGGTTTAGAAAGAAATCAGAGAAACATCACCCTTTACAATAACCACAAACAACATAAAATACCTTGGGATAACACTAACCAAAAACAAGTGAAAGACCTGTATAGCAAGAACTTTGAGACTTTAAAAAAACTAAAGAAGAGATCTCCCATGCTCTTGAAGAGGTAGGGTCAACATAGTAAAAATGGCAATCTTGCCAAAAGCGATCTAAAGATTCAAAATACCGGCACAATTCCTCACGAACCCTGGAACAACAATAATCAACTTTATATGGAAAAACAAAAGACCTGGGATAGCCAGAACAGCCCTGTACAATAAAGGAACTTCCGGAGGCACCACCATCCCTGACTTCAAGCTCTATTATAGAGCTATAGCCCTGAAAACAGCTTGGTATTGGCATAAAAATAGACAGGTAGACCAATGGAATCGAATTGAACACCCTGATTTTAACCCATACACGTATGAACACCTGATCTTTGACAAAGAAGCTAAAATTATATAATGGAAAAATGAAAGCATCTTCAACAAATGGTACTGGCATAACTGGATTCTGGCATGTAAAAGACTGCAAATAGATCCATGTCTACCGCCATGTACAAAACTTAAGTCCAAATGGATCAAAGACCTCAACATAAATCCAGCCACACTGAACCTCTTAGAAAAGAAAGTGGGAGGTACCCTTGAACAAATTGGTACAGGAGGCCACTTCCTGAACATAACACCAGTAGCACAGACACTGAGATTGAAAATTAATAAATGGGAACTCCTGAAACTGAGAAGCTTCTGTAAGGCAAAGGACAAGTTAACAAGACAAAGGCAGTCCACAGAATGGGAAAAGATACTCACCAACTCCACATCTGACAGAGGACTGATCTCCAAAATTTACAAAGAACTCAAGAAGCCAGTCTCTAAAACACCAAAGGATCCAATTAAAAAGTGGGCTTGGTTATAAAAAGTGAGTTTGGTTATAAAAAGGCCCCCCAAACTCATGTGTTAAAGTTTTGGTCCATAGCGCTATTAAGGGGTGACTGACCCATGACCCATGAAGATGTCAACATTCATTATGTTTTCATCAATAGATTAATCTATTATGCAACCAAATAGGTTGTATTTATATATTTAATAATATATATACACATATACATGTATGTGTATGTATATATTCTATATGTAAATATAGTCTATATGTATGCAACAACTGAAAAAAGGTCATGGTTCTGAAAGAGAAAAAGGGGGTCAATAGGGAGGGTTTGGAAGGAGGAAAGGGACAGGTGAGTGATCTAATTACAATCTCATATTTAAATCTGTTCATGATTTTGTAGCTGAGCGAGCTATTAGGAAGTAGGGTCTGGATGGAGGAAGTAGGTGGTTGGGAGCACTGGGGATGCTTTGAAGGGCATATCTTTTCCCCGCCTCCTTCCTGTTGTTTTTCTCTTCCTGCTTCCTGATCGCCATCTGATAAACAGCCTTGCTCTACAACACTTTTTTACCATAATGTTCTGTGTTATCACAGGCCAACAGCAATGGAGCCTAATGACCATGGATTGAATCCTCTGAAACCCATAAGCCAAAATAAACTTTGTCACAGTGATAAAAACTAGTACCACAGAAATGGACAGCCTAAGTGTGGTGCCACATGGAGGGAGTCCTTACATCTAGGCTGGGGCTGAGAGGTAAGAATACTCCCGTAGGCAGGCAAGGCTGAAGATGGGAAGGCTAAGCTTGGCACCTCTGATGCCACTTCTCGGTCTGTGAAGTCAAGGGAAAAGCGAGGCTGGGAGTGTTACATGGAGCTTTCTACACACGAAAGGGAAGAGATGAGGCATCTCACTCCCTACGCAGCCTCACCTGGGGCAACACACTATAACCCTTGGACACAAGAGTCTTAGCATGTCAAAATTAGCAGTGAGCAGATTTAGGGTCTAAGAATTGATGGAGGACAGACCAACAGAGTTTGCACTTAGGCTGCAAAAACGCCCCCCTGCCGTATCTGAACATCCCAAGCCACAGCCCAAACTCAACTTCTGCCAGTAGTTATAAGAATGCAGGTCTGGGTACCAGCCAAGCTTCTGAGTTATGATTCTTTTTGAAATGTGAGGTCCGACTGCTGTGTATAAACACTGACATAGGGCTGGGGATTCTGCTTACTAGCAGGGCACTCACCTAGCATGTACAAAGCCTTCTGTTCAGTCTCCAGCATTTTAACTAACAACTAATGAAGTAGAATTCCACATTTCAATAGTGTGAACCTCACAGAGCTTACCCGAGGCCCACCAACGGTGCCCTGTTGTCTAGAAACCAAGTAAAGGCCTAAGAAAGAATGGATCTCAAAGACAGTGGGCGCTGCAGCAGCAGACCTTTGCTCCTTCAGTAAAGGGCAGAGGAAAAGGGGGAGGGGGACCTCAACAATAAGAAGGAGTCCAGGAGGGCTAGGGACAGGATGCAGGGTCTTAGAGGTCCCTAAAGCCCAGTGGATCTGAGAGACAGTTTCACAGCCCCAAACAGAATCGTCGACTTTTACTCTTACATACAGGGAGATCAAGGTTTCTCATTGCCTGCCAGAATCGGCCTGCTTCCCTAAGCTCGCACTCTCTATTGTCCTTAGCATTCATACTTTAGGGCAGAGCAACTGAGCAGCTGAGTCACCAGTCTGGGAGGACATCCTCATCCTTCCTTCCTTCCCCTTTGCTCCCCTCCCCTCAACTAATTGTTTCCAGGGCTAGCGCTGGGGGCAGAGTTGTCCAAAGGCCTGCTCTGTTCTCCACCCTGCCCCCAAGCCCCTCTTGAGCTGGAACTAGCTCTTCACTTCCCTACTAAAAGGGCCTTTCATCCACTGCTATTCCCACCACCAAAACCTCAGAAGGAAAGAGGCTTCAAAGTGCTAGCCCGGTTTGATTTCCAGTGTGCGGCAGGTCTCTCTCACCAGCGGGGGCTAACAGGAAGTGCAGGCCCACCATCCCTGGGGTTCCTAGGCTTCTGCTCCTGCCTGCGGAGTTGTCATCTGCTCACAGTAACACTCAAGTCTGCTGTGAGCCTTCCCACTCTGGCTTCTGCTAGAGAAACACACCCTTCAAAGGAGAGCTCCCCCACAGCTCGGGCACTCCCTGGTGCTCCGTAGGGGGTCCCCTTTGGGCAAAGCTGACTTGAGCTTCCTGTGGGTCTTGAGAGCCAGAAGTAAGTCTTCTGTCTTCTTGCCCCTCCTGATGAGATTCCTGTTTCCCCGAGCACACATACCTAAGGAGGGGCTCATCCACAAACCAGCTGCCAAAGTGACTTACCCCCTTGCTGATGACAAAGTGTGTGAAAGGAGGACATGACCGCTCCGAGGTATGGTTGAGGGGTAGATTTTTATTGTGGATACGAGGGAGAGTACAGCCGGAGGCATCTGGAACAGTCCAGAGCAAGGAGGGAAAGTCGTACACTGAGCATGCCCAGTAGGCTGAACCAGGCGATGAAGCAGGTGACGGTGAAAGAGGAAGAGATGAGAGAGACCAACAGAACTAAGAGAGCACGTGGCCGAAATGTCCGGGATATATAGGAATGAGAAGCTGGGGAAGCGAAACTCATGAACTGGAGTACATTTGGGGTAGGGTGGGGTGGAAGCGCTGAGAGGAGCCCCTGGTACGAAGTGAGCCCGAGGACCAGCATCACTTTGGTATGGTAATAGTCACCATCGTTAGACAGCCATTTCCCTGAGTTTCTTTTGGACCTGGCACAAAGGTTATGTTAAAGCCACCTGATTTTAGCGAGGCGGTGGTGCACACCTTTAATCCCAGCATTTGGGAGGCAGAGGCAGGTGGATCTCTGTGAGTTCCAGACCAACCTGGTCTGTAAGACCTATTTCCAGGACCTCCAAAGCTACAGAGAAGCCCTGTCTGGAAAAAACAAAACCAAAACCAAAAAAACAAAAAAGCCACCTGATTTTGTTTGTTTTATTTGTCTGTTCTGTATATCAAAATTGAGATGAATTTTCAGTTTATAGATTTTTAAAACATCTATAGTGTGGTCCTTAAGTCCTATCAGAACTACACACTAAATAGAAGTCAAGATTTCTTCTGCCTTTCATTACCTTCTCATTTTCTTTTTGTTTGTTTGTTTTGGTTTTGTTTGTTTGTTTGAGACAGGGTTTCCCTGTGTAACTTTGGAGCCTGTCCTGGCACTCACTCTCTAGACCAGGCTGGCCTGGAACTCACAGAGATCCACCTGCTTCTGCCTCCCAGGTTCTGGGACTAAAGGCGAGTGCCACCAACACCCAGCGCCTTCTCATCTTCTTAAAAGAGAGATTGGGCAGAGTCCCTGGGCAGAAGCATGTCCTTAACCTGCCTAAACCAAGCATAAATGAAAAGCAGTTCGGCTCTTCAAACATGGATGTGTAACTGTCCACTGAATGGTTGCAAATTGGCTGGATTTTTGACCAATGGGTTTCTGATCCATTTGGAACCATCGTTTGCAACACTAGGTACCTGAGACCTGAAGGCGAGCAGTCAGGAGGGATAATGATCCTGTTTCAAGGACCAACCAAAGAACTGAAGACAAACTTTTATCTTATTTGTTATCCTTGGGTTGTGTTCATTGGTTTGTTTTATTGGGTTTTTTGTTTCATTTTGTTTTCTGTTCTAAATCGGTTACAGTTTCTCCTTGGGGAAACCAGGCAAACTGGAACAAAATGGTGTAGCTCTTCTCAACTAACTTCCTAGGAGCCAAGATATCATATCACTCTTGCTCTTCCCTCTCCCGCTGCTGTCCCACTACACCTAACCAGTTGGGCAAAGCCCCGAGGTGGACACCTTTGCATGCATGGTGCCATCTCTCTAGCCTCGAGCGCCTCATTCAACATCATGCATGATGTTGCTAACTGAAGTGCATTCTCTTGCAGTCCATCATGCTGAGCTTCAGACGCATGGGACTGGACATGGAAGTCCAAGGACCCAATTCAAGCCTCAACTCTTAGTAGTTATATAACATATACCCATTTTTTTAATCACACAGGCAAGTTCTTCATTTAAATTCTAAAATGGAGAAGCTAATCTGGTGTTTTGGGAGGGTTGTACGTTTTCAAGGTCCTGTTGGAGGGGACCTTGAAGTAACAGTGGACAGATCTGTGCCAAGCAGGCCTGATTCTGTCTTACCCATGTCTTTGCTGAGAGAAGCCACCATCTGATTGCAGGGCTTGGCAATGACTTCCTGGATGAGAACAGCATTGTAAGAGCAGCTCCCAACCCTCCTCTTGGTTGCCCAGCGCGAGTGCACACTGAAGTTACTTGGGGAGCCTGAAGAAACATCGGTGCCAGATCCACCTCCCTGCAGGAAATCAGCATGTGGCGTTAAACATGAGTATTTTCATTTTTCCCTGTTTTTTATTTTATGCATATGAGTGTTTTCTATCATGCATGTCTGTGCACCACACATCTGCCTGATGCCCACAGAGACCAGAAGAGGGCATCAGACCCTGTGGGACTTGAGTTACAGACAGTTGTAAGCTGACATGTTGTTGTTGGGAAATTGACCCAGGTACCAAGGAAGATTAGCCAACGCTCCTAACTGTTGAGCTATCTCTCCATCCCAATATGGATTTAAAAAAAAATAGCTCTTCCACTCACATGAATGTGCAGCAACCTTACCTCTGGGTATAGTAATAAAGAGATCAGTCTTCAGATTCAGACTCATCGACTATACAGTAATGAACAGTGTTTCTTGTCCCCATTTACTTATCTGGGGACCAGTCAGTGGAACAGTGTTTTCCAACACACAGAGAAAGTGAAAATACTTGTAGAGCATCCAAAGGGAAGCAAATGAGGAAACGTGACCTTCTCAGGTGCTTCATCCGGCTCAAGAGTAGAAGCAATCACTGTCCATGTGCACTTATATTGCTTTCAAGGCCTGCTTGGTTGAGGGTTTGGCAAAAAAGAGCAAGCCGAGAAATTCATGTCAAATCGGTCTCTAATTGCAAAGTAGAGCTAACAGAGACCTTGGGAAACAATATGCTGCCATCTTCTCATTGCACAGAAGAAACTGAGGCTAGCCAGGCAAAGTAACTGGCTGGAACATACCACACTGGTATAAGCCATTGCCTTCAGTCATAATCAAATGCAAGGTCAAGAGGCTGCCAGCCTTCCTTTTGATCACAGGCAGCCGTGAGAGAGAACACTCCCATCCCTGTCAGCGAACTTGCTTCTACCCCTGTGGATGACACATTGATTCATTGGCGCCACACTCTTGCAGCCCAGGAGGCTGGCCAAAAGACAGCTGTCTTGGAGCACGGGCGCCTGTGGGGAGTGACAGCAAGCAAGTTTCTTTCTTCATTTTCAATCTGGAAAAGCTGCAGTGAATGAGTGTGTACAGAATTAAAGCCAGGACATGGGGACAGAGGTATCGTCAGAGCGCCATTCAAGACAGACAAGCCAACGCTCAGCATGTTGAAGTCGTCTGTCTAGCTGAAGGATCGCCCCCCCAACCCCCGTTCAGTTTATTTCAGATGTGGAAATGGCCGGGGTTTGGGGGAGCTGTTTGGGTCCTGACACTTAAGCTGCTTCTACACTGCTGATTTATAACAGACCCTTCATGCTGGAAACGCCAGTTGCCTCTTTGTATGCAACTCAGACTCCCTCCTTACCCATTCCCAATTCTGTTTCCCCAGTGCTGCATGGAGATGAAAAACCAGAATATAAAATATGGAATCTGCTACTGACAAAGAGAGGCCAGGAAGCCACTGGTTACATGGGTTTGAAAGTGGAAGCCAGGTGCATTCTCTCCAGTATGGCTGCAGACTGTCTTTGAGACAGATGTCGCCCGCTTCCCCCCACCCCTCTGCACCATTCTCTTTGCATAGAGGAGGCGCAGAGTTCCAGCATGGGAGACAATAGGCATTAATATCCATTGGAATGACAGCTGCTTATGACTAGCTCTGCTCAGGACACGTGTCCCCCAAGCAAAATGATTAGTGCTCCAGCAGAATACGGTATTTGTGGATAATCAAACACGAATGGCAGATCGTTTGGACTAATGGAAAGCAGGATTCACATCAACCTTTCTGGAAAGTTCCCACCAAGAATAAATATTAAAGTTAGTTCATCGCAATAGTCGCCTTCCCACTCATAATATGGTGGATTTGTTTAGTGTATCCTGGGAAAACTTACCTGCCTTGCCAGAGTGTTATGAGGATTAATTAATGTTTGTAAAGTGCCTGGAATTCCACTGAAGAAATGTACCTTGTCGATGCAAATTATTATCATTATATAGTGCCTTTCATCCCAGAATCTCAAAGTGCCTCCCCAACAATTAATTAAGCCTCACTACACCCCTGTGAGAGAGTTAAGCATCATTCTGCCCTCACTAATACAGGCAGCGTCTGCACCTGAGTCACAGAGTCTAATGTTCAAGTCGCTCTCCAGGAGGGAATGAGGCTCCATTAGCAACTGTCCCTAAGTGCTTCCTAATACACACTCACTAACAATGCAAGGCAAGCACTATAGAATGATACCTGTGGCCAAAAGGATTTGTTTCATTTTGTTTATTCTTTGTCTGAGCTCCTGGTTTTATTTTTCTCCCTCCCCTGTAAAGCAATAAGATGCTTATTGGATGAGAGCTCAATTAGTAGCTGTAACCAGTTATATTGTACAAACAACACCTTCTACTCCCATTCTTTAGCATCTGAAACTCCAGGCATAAATTTCAGCCTTCCCTCACTAGTCACACCCCTCAAAAGGAGTTAACTTACCTTTACCAAGATTGTTAATGGCTTTAGGAACAGAAGGAACATTTGGATATGTGTTTGCAATCTGGGACCAGTGTGTCTGTCTCACATGTAAGCAGCTCAAGTATGTATAATAATTCTCTTTTCAAGGCAAGTGCAGCAAGTCAGAAACATGAATCCCTTGTATCGGCTCCTTTTAAAAGGAGCCTGGAAATCAAGTACGCATGTGTAGAATTCCAGGGTGCAGTATGTGCTGAAGAAAAATCCACCGCACGGTCTTTACCAAATGCATTTGGAAACAGAACCTTTTGGCATCATTTCTGGACAGATCTCCTTGGGATGCCGATAGCTAGTCATGAAAACTTGGGAGAAAAGTCACGATTTCCAACTCTTCTCCTACCTCAGTGGTGAAGTCGCTGCATGATAGCAGAATCATCTTCTAAGCTCCCTGAAGCTCCACCTTCCTCTTGTGCAGATGTTGGAGCTGGAAGGCCTGGTTTCCAGTGAAGTTGACCATTTCCCACTCATGTTACCTGGAGAAATCACTAGTGTCCTTGAGGTCCTATTTCCTCACCTAGAAAACAGGGATAATGGCAGCAACCCTGCATACTTTCCTCGTTGCTATGTAGATGGAGTGCAATTGTTTCTATGTGGGAGAACTTTGTAAAGTATGAAAGCTATATACATGTAAGAGGCTGGGAATAGCAGGAGTCACGCCACCAAAATAACTCTGTAGTTATAGAAAAACAAACTTGCTCATCATTGTAGTTCACACTGAAGCAGCCCCCTCATAAGCTGTGCTTATGATGGACATTGAATAGCACTGATAAGGAAAACCAAAGCTGAAAATCTGAGTTGCTGGTTGTGCTTTTGTTGGTCTAGCTTCCCCCACCCCACCCTATCTACAATCCTAATTCCATTAAGGAACTCTCCCTTCACACCATGTAATTTGGTTGGGCTTTCATACAAGGAAGGAATCTCACCTACTCCTTCAAATGCAATGAGTAGGTGACCTAGGTTAGCCAATCAGATTATTCTGCCCTTTGGCCTAAGGGCTGGTTATTAACCCAAGAATGGCCATTTAGACTCTTTTCAATGGTTTATGTACAAATGTGCATAGAAAGAAATCCCATTTCCAAGATATTGCTAAGCTGGGAGGATGAGTAGTTTGTCAGTTGAACAAAACCTGCATAGGAATGCTGTTGTGGAATATTATTTTAAGATGTGTTACATTCACTTATGCTGTGGAACATTTGTTTAATGATGCAAAAGATGTGTTGCATTTGATTAACTCTGTGAAGCTGTGTTACTTTGCCTGTCTAACACACCTGATTTGGTCTAATAAAGGGCTGAATGACCAATAGCTAAGCAACAGGCGCTGGCAGGTAGAAGATTAAATAGGAGAAATCTAGGAAGAAAAGATCGTGGAGGGAAAGGAGAAGGAGAGGAGGACTCCAAAGGTCAGCAACCCAGCTACACAGCAAGCCATGGAGAAAGAGGTAAAGAACGTTATATAGAAAGATAGACGTCCATAGGCAAAAGGTAGATGGAATAATTTAAGAAAAGCTGGCTAGAAATAAGCCAAGCTAAGGCTGGGCTTTCATAAGTAAGAATAAGTTTCCATGTGTGATTATTTGGGAGATGGATGGGTGGTAGACCCCCCAAAGAGCAAAAGGTAAACAGAGTTAAAAAAAAAAACAGCCGGGCGATGGTGGCGCACGCCTTTAATCCCAGCACAAGGGAGGCAGAGGCAGGCGGATCTCTGTGAGTTCGAGGCCAGGCTGGACCGATAGCTTCCAAAACAATACAGAGAAACCCTGTCTCATAAAAAACAAAAAAACAAAAAACAAAAAACCTACAGAATGCTACCAAGCAAAGACAAGTCAAAGCCGGAGACAGTCATTTAGAGCACACATATGCTGTAGGACACTGGTTCTATTTATGTTCCTGGATTAAGCTGTGCTATAACTCCTGGTTGGTCCTCTGGCTATATGAATCTATGATTTCCCCTCTATTTAAAGATGATCTCAGTTGAATATCTATTCCTCCCAATAGTGAAAGGCTTAACTAATACAAATCAGTGAACAACAAATAAGACTTACCAGTCTGCTTTGGGGAGAAAGAGAACCACAGAACCTCAACCTCTGACTGGAGGAAGCAACTTTTCTGAATGGTTTCATAGTTCCTATGAAACAGAAAGAAAAAGTGATTTGAAATCACCCTATTTTTCAAAGGCTATAATATAGTAGACCTCCTCATATGCTGGGGTTTTAGAAGTTTAGGGTCAACAGGATATGATGGTAAGTAACTGTTTTTAATCCCAGCACTGGGGGTAGGGAGATAGAGGCAGGCAGATCTCTGTGAGTTCAAGGGTAACCTGATATACATAGTAAGTTTCAGTCCAAACAAGTGAGACCCTGTCAGAGACAAAACCAAAAGCAAGCAAACAAACAAACAAAAAAAAACCAACCTGAGATACATTCTTCCAGCCTGCTTCTTATACTTAATCCCTACTGTCACTACCAACCTTCTCCTGATATGAGTGCATTCATTTGGGTTTTCCCCTCTTCTGCTCCCACCCCATCAGATATCTATTCACACCCAACTGTTCTGACTCTTGCATCTGGATTCCAAATAGGATTCAGTGCTGCTCCATCATCAGAAGGGAAACTCTTTAAATACAAGGTCAGAAACCCCAAATTCTTAGTCCTCTCTCTACTTGGTTGTGTCAATCTGGTAAAACACCTGAGAAAGATGACTTTCTGGAGGAAGGGTTTTCCTTGTGGGGGAGGGGACCGCAGTTTCAGATGTGTCAAGGCATTGTCAACTGACAACAGTGAGTGCTTTTAGGCATGTGACAAAACAAAGACATACGGCAGAAGGACATGGTGGAGAAAAGCTGCTCATCATCTGGGAAGCAGAGAGCAGATAGAGATGAACCATTTTTGTTGTAAGAGAGCACCCTCAAAGACAGCCTCAGTGACTCACTTTCTTAACCAGCTCTACCCCCTAAGCCCCTATTTATCCAAGGATTTACATGTGGATTAGCCCACTAATAATGTTAACACTCCTGCCACCCAATCACATCTCAGTGTCACCACAGTTGAAGACGAAGCCTTCAACAGATGAGCCTTAAGGACATCTTGTATCCAATAATAACATTTATCTATTATGGGAGTTGTGGATTTGTTAAATTGCCATTGGTTGTGATGTTACTTACAATATTTAAGGGAAGGGTAAGCCACAAAAGAATGAGTTTCTCTTCTTTTCTCTCTCTATCTCTGTCTCTCTGTGTGTGTATGTATGTATGTTAACTCATGGATTTTTGTTGACTGGATTGAGATATCTATATACTAGAGTACGTGGCTATCAGCTCCCTGTCTATGTCCAATGGCTTGGGTTTTAATAATGGCAAACTGCATGACTTTGGGCTAAATAATAGCTCTATGTGTTTGACTCTTCTTATCTATAAAGGGGAGAACAAAATTAAAACCCCAACATCATTATTGTGAAAACTGAATAGACTTGCTCTAGTAGAGTGTTGGAACAGTGCCTGGATTGTAGCAAACTCTCAACTGATGTAATCTGGTGTTACTATGAATGACATCCAGCCTTCAGTACACTTTCAGCTATGAGTATAGACATAGAATCAGTCAGAAATTCTCTACCACACAAGATACACTTCATATTTCTTTAGTCTTTAGCCGAGAAATTCAGATACTGTTTCTACACACTGAATCGCTGTCTTAAGGCGTTGGACAGCAAATGGCATGCTCATGTAAGATGATCATTTTGTATGACCACAATGGCAAGTCACAGATGTCATCCAGAGACACCTAATGGAAGCCCTCAAGATGAATCTGAGGACACTGCTCATGAAGCTACCATGAAGAATGGCAGTGCTCTTATTTCCCTCTCTCTTTCTTCCCTCCCTCCCTCCCTTCCTCCCTCCCTCCCTTTCTTTCGTGTGTGTGTGTGTGTGTGTGTGTGTGTGTGTGTGTGTGTGTTTACCAATAATTTCTTCGGGCTTGCTATTTTGTGAACATTTGCTTTTCTTTACCATGCCCCCATGGCTGGTTTTCAGCCTATATTTTTGGGCACACTCTTTTCTTTTTCACCCTGTTGCCTTCCCCACCAGCCTTCATTTAATCTTTGCTCACATCCCTTTTGCCTGCATGAGAAACGTAGCTTGATGTGAGTGTCAAATGGATGAAAGGTTTCTCCTGGTAAAGCTAGTTCATGTGTCCTTGGGGTTCTCCCTCAAGGTACCTTCTGACCTACATGCACTTCATTCGTAGAGCGTTGAAATTTGTTCAGCTTGCTAACAAGTCGGAGACTATTTACAGAGCAGAGACGAGTCAAATGGGGAACATGAACAGATGGAGAAGAGCCAGTTGTTGCGCTTCAAGTACATTTCCCACGCTGGAATGTGTCAATGCCTGGCGGTACACACTGCTTGCAAGTCACCCACATAGTAGAAAACTGATTTCATTTACTAACAAGCGCCTTTGTTTTGCCATTACATAATCATAAATGTGTCCCAAAGAGGAACCATTAGAATGTAAGCCAGGGCAAGCAGCCAGCCAGACATGAGTTCTAGTCCTATTATGGAACAGGACCTACCATGTTCCTACAAATCCTTGGTGGCCTTTCAGGACTGGGACAGGGCCATGCTGTGACACCACTCTTGTCTGATGACTTGTCTTCCATCTCATTGTCTGGTGAGCCAGATTCCCAGGCATGTGGGAAGGGATATGTGAGGGATAATTGACATTGATGCCCTGAGGTGGCCAGACCTATCCCAACCCGTACACCATGCCTATTCCAGCAAAATTACTGCTCTAATAACAGAGCTCAGCACAGCTTGATAAGGGCCTGAAGAGGAACCCTTGCCCCATTTCCCCCCAAGGCCTTGCTGTTAATCTCTACAAGCTGAAAGAGCAAATTGTCAGCAATCCACTTAGCAGGCTCTAAACACTGCCATTGCTGCATCCACCCTAAGGAAGAAAATCGCTTTCAGGGGTAGATGCATCTCAAGAAAGTTGACTACAAAATGGATTTCTGTAAAAGAGAATTCCATTTTCTCTAGACTTCCATTACAACATTGGAAAATTTGTCACACTGGGGGAAAGAATCCTCACAGGAGATGAAAAAAAAAAAAAGAACATCTGGGATGAAAGGAAATTAAGAAAAAGCTATCTATCACATTGGCACACTCTCCTTGGAATATGCTGGAGCCAACTGGGAAGCACAGACTTGATCTCTGTATCTCAGATCGTCTCTAGCGTCTGGAACTCATGACACCCGTAGGCCTTACCAGCACCTTCCATCTTCTGTCTCATCTGTTGTAGGATTTCCTCATGATTGAAAGTCCCATTCCTGTGTTCTTACACCTCACAAGGCTTGGTATTGCTCCCCATGTTGGTCGAGTGTGGCTTTAGACCGAAGCATGGCATCTTACTCACTCACTACTTTATACCCCACTCCATTTCTGTGATAATGTGATATGGCTTACAGGCAAAAAGGGGACATTTGTGTTTGGGGCTCAATTGTACTTGTTTCCTTTTTCCTTGCATTTCAGGTCCAAGTCTATTTACTTGCCCTAATCAGGTAAATTTTGACATTTTAATATCATGAGCCCTAACACTAAATATTAAATACCAATGGGTTTTTGTTGGAAGAGTCCGAGAGGTTATTTAACCTACCACCCACCCAATTCAACCCCTACCATCCCCATTCCTGGACACAGTCATTTCTGTGTTTGAAATGAGTTCCTGAAAGGCCACATAGAGCTTTCTTCATGAACTGGCCCATGAGATGTCCTCACTGAAAACAAAATCATTGATTTTCCAGTAGGCGAAGTTCTTCTCCAGGAAGACTCTCACCCATTATTTGGATCATTCCCTACTGGTAACAACAAAAGACAAATTTACATGAGACTTGAGGCATTTCCAGCTTCTTTCAGCTGGTCTCTACATGAGGCAACAACAGGAATTTGCTCTCTGAACCCCAACTTTGTGCCACTTCCCCACCTTCAGATGAAAATCGCTCATTATTTGTCACTCACTCTCTGAATCAGTGGAATTTTCTGGACCCTGTCCGCAGAATCCCCCTGCCCTTGAACTTCCTTTTTTGTCATCTATTCCTACTTATTTCCGCTTTTTAAGTGAATAAGGCCACAAATAGCCTATCATCGTCCTTTCATAAGGGTTCCATGTGGTCCAGGACACGTGGATAACAGCTCAGCTCTGACAGTCTGAGTCAGAGACCTCTGATCTCTCCCTATACTACCCCATGGAGGTGAGGTCAAGAGCACCTTATGCTATTGGTCTCCTTCAGACCTGTAGCAAATGCCACCTGTCCCTTCATTATAGGTCACATATAATGCAAAACTGGAGAGCTGTGTATTTGCTAGTTCAAGATGGCTGTCTCCTAAATCTCAGAGGTCTTTTTGGCTCAAAGACTGAAGCAGCATGGCTCACCTGCAGTCGGACCCTGCTGGCCAGCAGTTGGGAGCCTTGACCTGGCATGTGCCATTCTTGTGGAGACAGCACAGAGAAATAACCAGACTGCGTGATGGCCCCTCCACGTATCCACTGACAGTTGGCATGTGGTGCTTCTCACATCTCACTAGCCTCTCATATGCCACTTCTGACATCAAAGGTGTAGACGACAACACTATTCCCTGAAGAAGGACATGTGCCCAGCAAAGGACAGGTGAAGCACATAGAGCAATAATATAATCTGGCTCCATTGGTGACATTCTAGTTTTGGAAAGGCTCCCGCTGGGGACCTAATTTGTTTATATCGAGTATACATAAGCTATTGGGTTTCTCTGACTAGGTTGTTGGAACATGGGCTTAATTCCATTTCTTCTTCTCCATGCCATGCCATTCACCCTCTGCCTCCCCACCCCTGCACTACCCAGCACCTGGGCCTTCATTGCCAGGTTTTCCGGTGTGTACTATCAGTCTGCCCTTCAAAGGCTTCCTCTTATGCTCAAAGGAAGAAGTGGTACTCTTGCCATCCTCTGTGTCCTTGGCTGGGTAAGCCTCAAGTCCTCATGGTAAAAGGAGGAAAAAAATGATCTGGACTTTGGGGAGCACTTTACTTTTGTGTTTTCTCTCTCTCAACATATACACCCACACTCTCTCTCTTTCTCACTCTCTCACTCTGACTCTCACCGTGTG